CGTACCATCCGGCTTTGGAATGAACTCCCCTCCACGGTGTTTTCCGAGCGCTATGACATGTCCTTCTTCAAACGAGGCTTGCGGAGAGTACTTTATGGTAGGCAGCGGCTTGGCTCTGCCCCTGGCATTGCTGACGTCCATGAGCGACGGTGACCACTTACCATCAGGTGGGCCGTATGCTCGTCTGCCTACAAAGGCAATAAAAAAAAAAAAAAAAAAAAAAAAACGTGAAGCAAAAACTTTGTACCCCTTTTTACGAAAATTGCGCGGACAGAGGAGTATGAAATTTCCCACACTTATAGAAAATACAGAGAGGGAGGGCAGAATGTTAGATTTTTTTTATGCATTAATAATACATTAAATCAATAAAAAAAAACATTACTCACACTACCGTGTATTTGACACACACACATCTTTTATTGTTTGTTGTGTATTGTTACACTTGCTTTATGTCTATGGTCAAATTGAGAATAGGTTAATATTGTTTATCTGTAATATTGTTTGTCTATAGTGTAATCTTGGCCAAATCTGTGATAATAGAAGTATAATAAATAGCCTTTGACAATAGAACCATAATAATGTTCAAATTTATAATTTCAATTAATTATAGTCGAATTTCGACTACTGCGGGACTACTAGATCGTTTAAGTACGCAGCTTGAAGTATATGTCCACTTTCATTTCATTAACCTTGATTCCCTTGTGATCAAGTGTATCAATCAGAAATATTGTTACAGTATTTATCTCAAGTTAGTTTACTTGTAGCAAGGCATTATGTAAATTTGCTCGTTTCCATCGTGAAGAAAAAATGCAACGGCTTTTTTGTTGTGATATGTATGGGTTTTGGTGATTACTCAACAACAGGTTCGCGATGAGTTCATCTAACCAGCCAATACAACAAAAAATACTTTAAGACCTTTAAATTATTGAGTTCCATCTTCGAGCCGATGAATTGCGAATGTTATGTACGCCACATCGTACGACGTGTTGTCACATGCCTCAGGCCATAAATTAAATAGTTATTATTTTCAATGTTAAATGTTTGTGATGTGGCAGTACTTTTTTCTGTAAATAAACAAGACCTAAAAAATTTATTTCACCGATCCCAACATCTAAACAAGACTAATTGACTAAAATCATTTTCAATTTGAAACAAAAATTACAAAATTTTCTTTAAAATCTTTTTTTTTATTCAGGCAACAGTTGAAAACATCTTCAAAACTCTAATTAAACGTTTTTAAGATCGTTTTCGACAACAAAAATGAACGGTCCGAGCTATTAAATTGCTCTTACAATTTAAAGAATCTCAATATAAAGAATTCTGAGAGCCTTGGGCGCGACCTGCTCTACTCTGCGGAGTTTATGAACCATAAAACAATGTCAAATTATGATATAAAATTTAGTGAAAATTGCAAAGTTTATAACGCCACCCCTGAGGCCTGTGTAACAGACAACCTGTCAGCATCAAAACCAACTTTATTCACAAACTATTAACTAACTAAACAAAATATAGTTTAAAAAAAACTAACAAAATACTCTCTTATAGAAAATCCAACTAAAAAATTGAAAATATTTTTTAATAAATTTGAATTAAAAATAGTGTATTCGTATGAACAGATATGAGTAGAAGGGTTATTTTGATAATATCCCCAAAACCACCCCACGTTTTTTTACAATAAAATCACTTTTTCTTACACTATTTTTAATTCAAATTTTTTAAAATTTATTTTCTATTTTTTAGTTGGATTTTCTATAATAGCGTATTTTGTTAGCTTTTTTAAACTATTATTTATTTTGAATTTTTTAGTTGAATTTCAATTTTATAATATATATATATATAATTTTTAATATTGAATTTCATCGGTCCTTAAGAAGTATACCAAATTCCGAGTTAATTCGACATTTTGAAGGGGGTCAAAATCATGTTCAAAGATTCCTTTACATACTAACATACACACGCCTGAAGCTAATAAAGCGTATTAAAAATATAAATAGCATGATGGACTATGTGGTACATTTATTAGAATAAAAGTATAAGTTAAATGATTTTTCAACTTAGTAATAAACATCACATAATTTTCCTATCAAACTATTTTAATTTCTACTTAGAATTCTAATAGCTCTGATGCCTCATCTCTTCACCTGATGGCAAGGCATATTATGGGCAGGTACCATCACTCACATATTTTTTTATTTGAGATTTCGACATCGACCTCATGTATGAAAATGGGCAGCAATTTTCGCGTTTTTATGTCTTTTTTTTCCCTACCTAAGCTGATGGTCTAGAGAGACCACATCAGCGTAACCTTAACTAGTAGGTGAGCTCACGGAGCTCTATTGTCTTGTATAACCACTCAATGCTAGCTAGGCGGTAAACAAGTCTGCCTTTATGTCCTGGTAAAAATGCACACAAAACATTTCTTTTTACAATAAAATTGCTTACATTTTTCTGTTGATGTATATCGAATAATGATCCCTTTGCACGTAGTAGAATGTATGATATAAATCACATAAAACACAGACGTGCCACTAATTAGTATCTGTTGACCTACGTGAGAGTAATAACAGTGGACCAAGCATTACTAGCACTGTATTAGTTCCAGTATTGTATGTCCATAGCATTGAGCCGGCAACTATCGGATTCCTATTAAGAAAGAGGATATTGGCATAGTCAGGGAACGCACGACGCGGCCCAGACATCATTAGGTTAATTGAATTGACGATTGTATCGTCCGAGACTTGGATAGGGCTTATCGTAGTACCGCTGTCGCGTAGATCAATCGTTGCCGTTTCTTTAATGATCCAGTATCGAGTTTACGTTCTTTTGAGATTGATTTTCGGAATTTCCATTTTGATTCGTCGGAAATGTAAGTGGAAGATTGATCTATCGTGGGAAAACGAATCGATTATGTAGTTCTTAGTTGAGATGATTTTTTTAACATGCTTTTATTAACTTGACCTGTGCATCTATCTGTATCTGTATTATGTAATCGAATCTTTCGATATAATTTTCAGTAACTTTGGGTTTTCAGTAACTCTATTAACTTGAAAATTTACACATATATCAAAAACTAATGACAGTATAACATTTTTATTCTAAATTATACCATTTATTACTGACCAAGATATAATTTTTTTTTTAATACAGTATGTTGTTTAATTCTGTTTTTTAAGTTTTTAAGTAATATTTTAATTATATATAAGCTTATAATGCCCGGCTTATAATATACTTTCACTTTGAAACGCGAGGTCCATGTCTCAAGTGAATTAGCACCTTCATTTAATATTATCTGTTACCGTTCATGTCGAACCTAACCCATAGATACAACCCACTGAGTTTCTCCCCGGTTCTTCTCAGTGGGTCGCCATTCTAATACGGTGGTAGAATCAGCGAAGTATTGCTCTTGTCGAGGCCAATGCTAGAAAATTCTGTCAGGTTAAACCCGTGAGCTCACCTAACTATCCGAGCGTAGTTGGAATAGCCCCTTAAGCTATCGGCGATCAGTTAGGAATAAAGTTTTTTTTTTTTTTTATTGCTTAGATAGGTGGACGAGCTCATAGCCCAAAGTGAATAGCGTTACGGCAATTATGCACACGCACAGTTTAAATAATTTTTTTTTTAAAGGATTTTTTGACCTGGTAACTAAGACCTTTAGGTCAGGGTCGTATTTTAATTTATATTCTTATTTTTATGAAAAATGATAATATGGAGTGAAATGAAATGAAGATGATTAATTTGAGATATTAATCAACTGAGATGAAATGAAATGAAATGAGATAGATGATATGGGTGGTCATTTACTAAGATTTTTTCAGTGAACTTTATGGAGAATCCCGAGAAGTTACGTCCAGCGGCTTTGTTTCATTTTCCCGCATTTGTGTTTTCACAGATATTAAACAATTAATAAACCACCGCTATTACACATTTAAACCTGAAATAAAAATCGGTAAAAAACTTTTAAGTTAAACGGTTTTATTTTATGTGCACTGAAAACTACAAAATAAATAAATAGTTACTTACCTATCAACCTACGTAGGTCATCTCGGTCATTAATATCTCTGATGGTAGTGGTTGTCATAACATGAACCATGTCAGCGGCCGAAAGGCAGTTCATGAAAGAACACTAACACCAGGGTTTGCTTGGTAGGTAAACTAAGCACACACTATAACAAGTAGGTATTTTGACCTTCTAGTTCAGAAATATTTTAGTACTAGGCAGAATAGCTTTTAGGCATATTAGACTAAAATAAAAACGTGGGGCCCATTATTATTTCTGTATTACTTTCTACTATACTAAGTGTGGATTGTATCGACTTATTATAATCGTCATCATCATCATCCTAGCGGCTTATCCCGGTCGCATCCGAAACCTCATAGCTCCGGAGTCCAGGGTCCGCTGAATCGACTTACTATAATCGTAACTGGAGGTTTTGACCATCAATAACCAGCCGTGGCGGCTTCACCAGCGAACGCCGAGCTCATGATCTACCAAAGTATAAGATATGCTCTACCATAGGTATGATTTCAGAGGGGCCCCACGTTTTTATTTTAGTCTAATATGCCTAAAAGCTATTCTGCCTAGTACTAAAATATTTCTGAACTAGAAGGTCAAAATACCTACTTGTTATAGTGTGTGCTTAGTTTACCTACCAAGCAAACCCTGGTGTTAGTGTTCTTTCATGAACTGCCTTTCGGCCGCTGACATGGTTCATGTTATGACAACCACTACCATCAGAGATATTAATGACCGAGATGACCTACGTAGGTTGATAGGTAAGTAACTATTTATTTATTTTGTAGTTTTCAGTGCACATAAAATAAAACCGTTTAACTTAAAAGTTTTTTTACCGATTTTTATTTTCTTGTTTTTAGTATTTAGTGAAATTGTCTACCGAATATTCCTCATTCTATTTAATTCATTCAGTGCATCATTATTACATGGTTTCTTACCTGATAATTTAGTACAATCTAATTCCTCAATACATAGATAGCCCTTCCAGAGACTTGACTCGACTTAGAGCCACGTATGCTTGTCCTTCCTCAAACAATTTTGAGCCCAAATATACTACTGCATGGTCGACGGTGCTGCCCTGCATTTTATGGACGGTGGATGCCCATGACAAAACTAAGGGCAACATCCTTCTTTCAGCCGTACCATAATTGAATTTTGCTGGAAACTGTATGGCTTTAGGGTAAATAGCGTGCATGCCGTTACATTGCACGCCGGCAAATCCCGAAGTGAAAACGCTGTGGTCACCTTGATGCCATGAAGCCCGAATAATTCTAGCAACGTCATTAATACTAATGAATACATTTGGAATTTCAATTCTTTCAGGTTCACCGTTTTCAGGTATATCTGGCACACTAAGTCGTATTAAGTCTTGTTCACTAATCTGGACATTTTCGTCAATGCGTACATCTCTATAAAGTGGGTTATTTCTAGTTAACCATCTTAAAGCGCTGTAGAATTTTTCGCGAGATATTGTGAACTCTCTTGTGATGTTCAAATTCTCCAAACGTTCTGTAACTACAACGATACCCACCTGGCTGGAAGATCTTGGAAGCATATTAGGTAATCTTTCACTGACCTCAAAGATATCTTGGGCAAACAACACTGCTTGTCCGCGGAAACCGTACTGCCCGTATAGCCCAGTAAATTTTACGATTTTAACAAGCGGGATGATTCTACACAGCAATCGCTGCTCTGCTTGCGTCAGCGCTTGAATCTCATCTGGTATTGAACCTGGATCCAGATTATTCCAGTACGCCTTTGATGGTGCTATTGTTTTATTACTGGTCACATGTGTTTGGCAGCGCGAACATAAAAGTAATGTTGTTTTTGAAGACAGTTCTGCAGGTAGATATCCTAATACAGCTGTGTTGTAACGTACAGTATGAATTTGGTTAGGATATCAATGCTTCGTGCAAATGTCACAAACGTGTATACACGATGTGTTAATGGCATTTTCAAACGCTTGTACATGATTTTCAGCTCTGCGTTGCTGTGCACGCTCACGTTGGTTATTTAACCTGTCGTGGCGTTGCTCAGGTGTTTCTGAAGCTTCTAACTCCTTTCGTCTCTCACGCCGTCCTGTTAACCTGGCCTCATGTTGCTCAGGTGTTTCTGACGCTAATAGCTCTATTTGTCTGTTACGTTGTAATCTTAGCCTGGACTCATGACGCTCAAGTGTTTCTGACGCTATTAGCTCTCTTCGTCTGTCACGTTGTGATGCTAGCCTAGACTCATGACGCTCAGATGTTTCTGATGCTAACAACTCTCTTTGTCTGTCACGTTGTGATGCTAGCCTGGACTCATGACGCTCGGGTGTTTCTGACGCTATTAGCTCTCTTCGTCTGTCACGTTGTGATGCTAGCCTAGACTCATGACGCTCAGATGTTTCTGATGCTAACAACTCTCTTTGTCTGTCACGTTGTGATGCTAGCCTGGACTCATGACGCTCGGGTGTTTCTGACGCTATTAGCTCTCTTCGTCTGTCACGTTGTGATGCTAGCCTGCACTCATGACGCTCAGGTGTTTCTGACTCTACCAGCTGCCTTTGTCTCTCACGTTGTGCTATTAACCTGGTATCATGTTGCTCAGGTGTTTCTGTTGCTAACCGTTCTCTTCGTTTCTGTAGTCAACTGTGGGTTTCATTTTCACTTTCCTTTGCACGTTTCGTTCTATACTTTTCTTTTGCCTTTTCGAGCCTTCTTTTTCGTTGTGTAGCAGTTTCGTTTTTATTTTTGTTTGCTTTTTTATTTATTGTTACCATGTTGTTCCCACGATTAAGGGGCATTTTGACGGTCGACCCCGCCAGAAGTCCAGCAAGGGGGCAAGGCTTAATATACAACAAGATGCGCCCAATCTTGAGGGGGAAGCGCTGACGATATTACATTTTTACCCACCCTAATGCCATACAGTCCTTGGCACGTTTTAACCTATTACCTTAACTTGGGTGGTATAGCTACCGCTTACTAACGAGGTATCTAATTACCTAATTTTTTTTATCTGCCCCTCTAACGTCACACAATCTTGGACGCAATCTGTTCAATCTGTTCTCGACACGACTAATCATGCCCCCACCTAATACGCCATTTTGTAACTTGTAACACCTAATACGAAATTTTGACGTCATAATGACAGTATTCTGCTAGTGTAGTCCTATTATTTGATACCCATATTGTGGTGGTTGTGGAAAAATATGTACCTAGTCCGCCATATTGAAACGGCGTCCATCTTGAATTTTAAATTTTGACATAATCATCGTGTTTTACTAGTGTAACCCTTTCATTTGATACCCATATTGAGGGGTTTAAGGAAAAATATGTAATCCGCCATTTTGTATCGGCGGTCATCTTAGATTTATAATGTCATTGATTTTATTATATTGTATTGTCATCTAAATTAAATGTGTGTACCAAATTTCAGATCAATCTGACAACGGGAAGGTGCTTAAATTTCAATTTCTAATTTTGACCCAAATAAATAAAAAACAAATTCCGTACAGGTCGAGCTAAATAAAACCGTTTAAAAACACTAAATACACAAAATAGAACAAATCACACAACTTCATACGCGCGTTCAGTCAGTTTAAGTTCTAAAACGTACCTTTTCCGTACATTAAATTCCAATCCAAGAAGTAAGTAGGGCACCACGAAAGCCAGGACCTTCGTCAAGAACGCTCTCGTGACGTGGAACGGAACCTTTTCAATTTGATCCGAAGCCCTCATGATACCTACATTAAGTCTCCCTTGGCCTCTGATTTGCATGAAACTTATTAAAAAAAATATAACTTCATAAGAAGGCGAAAGAGACCGACTTCGAGAAATATGAAAAAGCCGGGAATAAATTATTTGTGGAACGTCGATTAAAATATTGTCATTTCTTTCGTCGTCTGTGATTTAATGAGTTCTTACTTTTGCCAAATTAGTGACAGGTTTATGCGTTTTTTGTTTGTTTCACTTTATACACAGTGACGCCGAATTTATCAATTTTAGCAGTATTTTATTTGAACTCTAATTTAAATAATATATAAGTGATATCTAGATATATATCTTTAAGGAAATTTGCCTCATTCGAAACATTAAAATAGTTAGCACTAATTATTTTATGGTCGATAATTAGTTCATGATAGTTATAATACTTAATAATTAGAGTGAAATTAATCTCACAACAGTCGGGTACCTGCTCTACTGCCCTACATTGAATTTACTTATTGTAAAAAACTGTATTTCTGAATTCAACGAAAACTCTTTGATTCTCCCAACTGTTTTTAAGTCATGTCCATTACATTAAAAAATCATTGAAATAATCACGTACCTCATTTTCTTAAAATTATATACTAGAGACAATTTGAAAAGTAATCCTGTAAATGCATAATGAAAAAATTCTTGATAAGATAAAAACAAATTTTAATTTACTTAAAACAAGAAGGCGGCGGATATTCCCTATACGGGGTGTACATTTTAACAATTACTTTTTATATACGATATTTTTAGGACAGAGTATATATTTTGTTTAGTTAATAAAAAATCAAACGCTACAGAAACAAGTTCACAACTAAATAATTTGGTTTGCAAATGTAAGTTTCCTTTGCTAGACATTGTAGTACATTGATTACTTGTAGTACATAGTAGATTGAGTAACCTCACGTTACATTGATTCTAAATTATCGTAATGAAAAGGCTTATTACTTTCTGCATGCAATGAAGCTTTTGCCTGCATTGGAAAAAGTTGTGGTTTTATTGGCGATGTAATATTCTTTGTTTTTATTTTTAACGCGATTTTTTGATATGATTGATATTATTTGAAGTCGTCGTGGCCTAACGGATAAGACGTCCGGTGCATTCGTGTTGAGCGATGCACCGGTGTTCGAATCCCGCAGGCGGGTACCAATTTTTCTAATGAAATACGTACTCAACAAATCTTCACGATTGATTTCCACGGTGAAGGAATAACATCTAGTAATAAAAATGAAACCCGCAAAATTATAATTTGCGTAATTACTGGTGGTAGGACCTCTTGTGAGTCCGCACGGGTAGGTACCACCGCCCTGCTTATTTCTGCCGTGAAGCAGTAATGCGTTTCGGTTTGAAGGGTGGGGCAGCCGTTGTAACTATACTGAGACCCTTAGAACTTATATCTCAAGGTGGGTGGCGCATTAACGTTGTAGATGTCTATGGGCTCCAGTAACCACTTAACACCAGGTGGGCTGTGAGCTCGTCCACCCATATAAGCAATAAAAAAATAGTACATAGCAAATGTTATGTAGTAAAAAATCATATTTCGAATCATTACTTTTACTCTCTTTTCCTAATTAGCGATTAGCAATGAAACCTTGAAACTCGTATTGTATAGAAGAAAAAAAAAACAATATTATTATGTAACTGTGTTGCTACAAACAAAGAGCCATCTTTATACATCGGATACACGAAAAATAGCCTGCTAAAGTTCAAATGTAAAACCGTAAAACATTCATCAACGGGGTTACACGGTAAATATAAAAGCCTCCATGGCGCTTTTCGGGTCCCCTCCATTATCATAAAATTATATCATACAACTTTCTTTTGATGTGACATTAAAATAAAAGGCGTACCTACGCTCCCGGTTCGGTCAAGTTTTAAGCGCGTTACGTTCATTATTGCTATTATGAAATATCTATGTATTAATACGTGAAGCAAAAACTTTATACCCCTTTTTACGAAAATTGCGCGGACTGAGGAGTATGAAATTTTCCACACTCATAGAGAATATAGAGAAGAAGTGCACAATGCTAATATTTTTTAAAATAATGCATAAAAGATATATTAAATCAATAAAGAAAACATTACACTACACTACACACCATGTATTTGACGCACACACGCATGCGTACTATTTATTGTCAAACTTTTGTTCTTGTCGTCTGTGGTCAAATTGAGAGTAGATTAAAATTAAATATTGTTTGTCTTTTTTAAATATTATTTTATAGAGTAGCCTTGGCGAAATTTGTGATTATAGAAGAATAAAATACAATCATAATAGTGTACAAACTTACAATTCCAATTAATTATAGTCGTATTTCGACTACTGCGGGACCACTAGTTAATGTCAATACGCTTATGATATTTCGTATGCAGTCCAATGAACCATTGATTCGGTCACGTGTCACCACTTTCGAACATGTGGTCGACCGATCGTGATAATATTTCATCGTATTTAAGGATCAGAATATATATAAATATGATCAATAATCGTTTCGTACAGAATTGATCGTAAATAAATAATAGACTAGATGATGTGTCTTTAAAGCGATTAGTTGCCCTCAATTAAGAAAAATAGTATTATTATTCGCCAATAGATGTCGGAAAGAGTTGATTATTGAAAACACGAATAACACAACATTTTCTGAAAATAAATCGTAGCTAGATCGATTTATCGCCCCCGAATTTTTTTTTTTTTTTTTTTATTGCCTTTGTCTTCAGAAGGGCATACGGCCCACCTGATGGTGAGTGGTTCCCGTCACCCATGGACTTCAGCAATGCCAGGGGCAGAGCCAAGCCGCTGCCTACCGCTTAATACTCTCCACAAGCCTCGTTTGAATAAGGACATAT